TGTGTAACAAATCACCCCAAACTTAGTGGTTGAAAACCACCGCCATTGTAAGTCAAGTCCAAACTGACTGTGGAGGCCTGGGGTGGGGTGGGGGAGAATTATAAACGTTGAGGTTGGACCTTGAAAGTCTTCTCGTGGATTTTGTTCTTTTCCTGAGCCCTTAATGAATTGCGATACGTAGCCACGCAGAGCCCAGACCTGGATCTGAGTGTTCCTAGGGCTGCCTTAACAAGTGACCACAAACTGGGGGGGGTTTAACCAACAGAAATGTAGTTTCTCACCATTTTGGAGGCTCGAAGTCTGAGGTCAAGGAGTCGGCAGGGCCGGCTCCCTCCGCAAGGCCTCTCCGTAGCCTCTGGCCGTTGTCAACGCCCCTGGGAGGTCCCTGACTTATAAGCTTCATCACTCCAGTATCTGCCTTCATCTTCACCTGGTCTTTTTCCCTGTGTGTGTGTCTCTCTGTGAGTCTTCATGTGCCCTTCGTATAAGGATGCCAGCCACTGGATTCAGGGGCCACCTACTCCACTATGGCTTCATCTTAACTAGTTACACCTGCAAAGACTCAAATGAGATCACATTCCGAGGTTCTGAGTGGGCAGGAATTTTGAGGGGACACTGTTCGACCCAGTACGCTAGGAATATGTCCCAGAATCACCTTTGACCTCTGGTTGAGCATCCATTGATAAGGTAATTACCAAGATTACAATGTGTCTATTATCAAAGAAAATATGAATCCTTCTTTTGACACTCAATAATTCCACTTTGATAACCAATTCTAAAAGAATCCTACATACCTAAACTTTAGGCATCAAACTTTAGGCAAAGCAGCCTTGCTTATAATAGCAAATTTGAAAACAATCTATATTTCCAAGAACAGGAGAATGGTTAATATAGGAGAGACATCTATATAATGGATTTTCTAAGTAGCTTCTAAAATTATATATGAGGTTTATAATACTGTAGAAAATTTACATGTTTAACAAGTAAAAAAATATACATTTTAATAGCTATTATAATTGTTTTAAAAAGAGTGTCAAAATTATACATCAAAGAAAAAATGGAAAGTATTAGCACTGTCTGTATTTGGATGATTGATTTCTTTTTACCTTTTGGGTTGTTCCAATTGTATATCTCAGCATGACAACCCCACCACTTACTTCTTAAAATAGCCATAATTGCGTATTTTTCTCATTAATCGGCAGTTTGGGTGAGGCTCAGTAGGGGCTGGCTCGTCTCTGTTTTATGCAACAACAGCTGATGTGACTTGACTGGGCCTGAACGCTCCAGTTTCCAAGGTAGCTCAACAGCACGTGGGTGCCGGCTGGTAGCTGGGGAGTTCGGGTGGGGTTGCTGGCCTGGGGCCTTAGTCCCCCAGGGGGGCCTCTCCATGGGGCTACTTGGGCTTCCCGACAGCATGGCAGCAGAGCTACAAGACAAGTGTGAAAGTGGAACCTGCAAGTTCCTGTGCTGCAGGAACCTGCCCTAGGACGTGGGCCCGGTAACTAGCACAGCACCCTGTCCTGCACGTTCTGTGGGTCATGCTGTCACAGAGGCGGCTCAGATTTAAGGCAAGGGGTTCCCTTATGTCAAACAACTTGTGGCCATATTTAATCTACCATTATAAGTCCAGTTTCCAAATTTTCTTTAATGAGTATTAGTACAAGTGGGACCATGTGAAGTACCTTTAAAATGTTTTTGATTATTTTTTTGAAAACCCCCATATAAACTCTCTGATAATCCATAAAACTACTTAGAATAGCAAATTTCTCTTCTCTTTGTCCTCAAAGCTCCTTCTCCACCTGCATATGTCTGGACGGACACACACACACACCCCCGCACATACAATTTCTCATCTTTTGGCATGTTGCTCCTTGCCTGGTCTTCTCTCAGTTTTCTGGTGAGGAAATTATTAAGTAAAAATTACAGTATTGGCCATGGTGGTTTGTGGTACGCCCCACTACAGACAGATACTTTCCAACGGCATCTGTTAACAACCCTCCAGTTCCTGATCGCCTCACGTCCGAGGAGGCCGACGAACGGAGGAAGCACGGCACCGCCAAAGGGCCACCGGCCAGTCTGCGTGTGTACACCTAGGCAGGCACCGGGCTGTCTCCTTTCCTCCCACCACATCTGACCTAGTGGTTATTAAACACCAAGCAGTTCGGAGTTGCCTGATGTAGTAATTCTGATTCTTAAAAGCTTTTCTCAAATTGGCTCATGTCTTGTAATATTTGCTTAGGTTACATAAAGGCTCATCTTAGGATTCTGCCTTCACTAACCATGAAGCTGATCTCTTTAGTTTTTGATGGAACAGAAGGCTAATAACCTTTCAAAGAATAATTAAGATTTGACTACAAAGCAGTAAGATTAGCTGCCTAAGATGAAATAGGAACCAGTGTGTCAGAGGTTTTATAGTTTGTTCCATTTGGTGTTGTGTGCATGAGAGTTTTGTCCTGGTTTTCCAGTCTGAATGGCCCAATTTTATAGTTCTCCCAGGTGATGATAGAGCTGCCAGCAGTACCCAGTATCTCAGATTTTTAACTAATGCTACGGATCCTCTCTACAGAAATAGGTACATGCGCACTGGCAAAGTACGCTGCATACGTCGGGAGGTTCACGGACACCCTGCTGAGGTTAAGAAAGCCCCCAGCTGGAGAGAACCCAGAACTTTGGCGACTCAGGACAGGAGGTGAGTGCCTGAGAGTGTCATGGTGGCTTAGGGCTTGTTGGGCCATGTCAGGAACACAGACAATTATGTGCAATCCGCTTCTTCCTTGGGCCATCGCAACAGCTAGTTGTGAACAAATCCCAGCAGAAAGGTGACACAGCCTGGATACAGAGCAAGCATCAGCATCTACGAGCCTCCTTCCCAACCACAAGGCACAAACACTTCCCATGCCTGCGGCTCCTCTACCCTTTCCTCTGCCGAGTACTTAATGAACACCTTTTAAACCCCTTTCTCAGGGCTTGGGTCTAGAAATGCACATGTGAGTACAATCTGGCTCCTCTCATTCATTAAAAACTTCACTGAATATTCACAGACCCAACGTGCTTTAGTCCTTACAGTCTGTGTCCCACAAGCCATGCACATGTATACACATACAATGCAACACAACACAAGAGAAGGCTACAGTGGAGAGACAGGTAAGGAACTGCGGGGGCACAGGAGGACCACTCAGCTGTCTGCCAGGAGGGTCATGGAAGGCTGATAAGAAAAGGTGAATTGATCTCCGTATTTAAAAAAAGAAAAACCAGACAAGGAAGGAAGAGGGGACAATATGTTCAAAGGCATTCAGGTGGCAAAGAATATGGCGCTTTTTGGGTTCAATGTGGCTGGACCTAAGGTCAGCAGGAGTTAAAGCAACAAAGACCGGAGAAGCCAGATCTTGAGCGTCCTAAGTGCCCTGGGGGAGGGGGGGAAGGTTAGAACTACTGACACGGGGGGCGGGGGGGCCTCTGGAAGGCTCTAAGCAGGGGACTGAAACGACAGGGCTGGGTTTCAGAGCGCTCACTCTGACAGCAGAACGAGACGCCTCGGAAGAGGGCCGCGTGAGAAACCGAGCCGCTGGGAGGGAGGCACCGAGAGGCCCTGGGGAGGGACAGAAGAGGGTCTCAGTGCCAGCAGGGGCCGCAGGGAAAGAGAGGAAGGCCAGAAATAAAAGATTCAGAAGAGAGCACAGATAGAGATCGGCCAAGGATTCAGAGGGGCGTGGGGGTAATGGAGGAGTCACTGTGATGACTTCCAGGTTCCTTGTTTGAGCCAACAGGAACGTGGTCAACCAAGAGGGGAAGTACAGGAACTCGTGGGGTAAGGTCGTGAGGCCTGAGGGCAGGGGGAGGGGGAGGGCGACGGAGACATCTGTCCTGGTGATGGGACTGTGGGCCCAGGGAACGCCACCACTTGTCCAGTCCTGGCCTAAGGTCCTCCCTCACCAAAATCAAGACTGGAACACTTATGGGTGTTTCGCCAATCTTGTGTGGAAAAAAAGGATTTTTTATGAAACTCTCTAGAGTGAGATAGATCATGTCAAGCTTGAGAAGGGCCACTTGTGTTGTGGGTAACAATGAGAAAATCGTCTTCGTGCTAAATGTGCCTTTCTCTCTCCTTACATCATAGCAGACTCCGCCAACACCGCTATGATCAAGTTTCTATTCCTCCCTCCAACCGTCTGCAACTTCTGGCTGTGCAAGGCGAATGCTTCCATATGGTGCAATGTTTATATTAAGACGGGAAAAAAATATGAAATGCTTTCAGTAAATTTTATCCAAGAAGCAATAAATTTACAAATCCTAAACAGCTGGAACTAAATATTGGCCTGTAATTGATTTTGGATGAAGGTAATTCAACAGGAATAGGAAACTTGGGACAGTTAACTGATGTTTAGGGATCTTGGACGTCTTCATACAGCCCTTGCGAATGTAATCTCATGCAAATTATTTGCTATCTTCAAACTCTTTTTGTCTTGCCTCTAAAATGGGTTCAACATTTTCACCTACTCATGGGGTTTTTCTGAGAATTAAATGAGCTAATGCAGGTAAAGACCTTAGACTAGTAGTCATAAGCTAGTAGGTACTCAGCAAAGGTTAGTTCTTCCTCTTGTTACCTATTACCTAAGAGCTAAGTGACTGGGGAAGGGGCTGGGAAGAACTGGGGCTGGGAGGGAAAGGACGGAGCAGGGGACAAGAACGAAAGTTTTGCAGCTTATCCTGAAAGGGTGCTCGTACCACCAGGAACTGCCTGGTAAGAGCTGTGTGAGTGGGAGGCGATTGTTAAAAAAGATTTGGGGGGATGGGGTGGTCTGCAAAGCCTGTGGAACCAGGAGCTTTCCGACATTTATTTTGAATCCTTACTCACCTTTATAATTATTTAATTCATTAGGACACATGAGAGCAGGAAGGCGGAAGGCAAGAGTACGAACAAACTGTAATTGTCTAGCAAGAATTACAGGACATGCAAAAACTACCCCATGTCTATGTGGAATCAGTCCACAGGATTTTATTCTATTGACTCATTATTACTTTGGACAAACTGCCAGCTTTTGTTTTAGTTTCCTAGTCACAAAAGCACAAGTATCTTTCAGAATGATTCTTCAAGTCTTCTACTTACAACATAGTTCTTACATTTACAAAGCCTTTCTACACCAAATACTGATAACAATTAGGCAAAGTAGATATCATTAGTTCTATTTTAAAAGAGCAAATATTGAGTGTAGACTTCCTGTGTGCCAGATACTATATCAAACACTCTACAAGGAGTGTCTCATCTAGTCCTTTTGAAAAATGTACAAGGGCAGTACGATTATCATCTGAGTCTAGAAGAGAGAAATTTGAACAACTCTCCTGAGGTGAGCCAGGCAGTAAGAGCAGGGGCTGGATTTGAACCCACCTCAGTCTGACTTCAAAGCCTGCTTCTTAACCCCGAACCACTGTATTCTGCTGTTGAAGGATCATCAGACACACACATTCTTTCCTCGTATGGCAATGTTTTTAGTTTGAACTCAGCCTAATTATTTACAGTCATGTAAACAACTGTTGTGATATTACACAGAAATGTGAAACTTTTTGATGTCTATTTCCATACTCCGTTCCGAGAATTGCTCAAGACAGATGTGCATCTCAATGTACATTCCCTTCCCGAAGGTTAGGAGAATCTGCACAAGACCAGCAATTGTTGAATAAAGTTTCCAAATATCTGAAGTACGTGGTAATAGGCTAAGAATCTGTTTCTTATTTACTTGTAATACAGTTTAATAGTTGTAGATAAGAAAATGTAAGCATAATTTTAGGGAAGGGTAGCTACCAATATTTTGAACAGTTCAATAAGGCAAAAGACAAAATCTGTTCATAAAAATGCATTTTTCATTTCATTAAAAAAACCCAAACTGTCCAATATCCCTCTCCATCATGCAAACAGCTCTCATATGAGATTCTTCAAATTTTACGTTTTTTCCACTCTGGCTCATTCTTTGCTTCCTCATCATCAGATTCAACTTGTGCAAACATGGTTTTGGGCTGAGTCCTAAAAGAAAGTTAAAGAGAAGAGGAAAAATGTAGTTGGCAAATGTTTATTAGATCAGACTTTGCTAGTTTTCATCACGAGGAAGCACATTTGGGGAGTCAATTACATTTCAATTATTAAGTATCAATCATTAAATTTCTGGCAATGAAAAGGAAATTGAAAATTTACAATGTTCAAGAAGAGAGCCAAAGAGTCTCTTCAAGGGTTTCCCTCTGTGGCAGACTATGGATGCTATCCTTCCCTTGAAGAAAACGGAAGCGCATCAAAGTCGGTGGCTCCTTGCGTGGCAGTAACCACTCTCCACTTCAAGCTCAAGCTAATCATCTGGGAGGGCAACTTACAATCACCAAGCAAGAATGCATACGCTCTTTATTTATAGCTCTCTGGGTTGTCCCTGGACTCAAGCCATCCAAATGTAGGTGATTACGGTACTCATGAATGGGAGACTGAGTTAATAGTTATTTCATCGAATGAGTTTAAAACAACAACCACCATTTGAGCCCTGCCAGCAAAACCAAAACAAGACAATCAGAGGGCCATTCCCCTGACGCTCAGCGTGCTGCGTGGAAAGGCCCGGCCTGCGGGGGCACCACTGAGCACCGCCGCTGGAGCGGGCCGCGCACGGGCACTGGCTGCCTGTGCAAACACCCTGTTCGCTGACATGCCTCTTTACGCTGTTCACACAGGAAGTAATTCCTTAAAAAGGTTGCTTGTGCACGTTTTGGTCACGTGACTGCTGATTTCCCTTTCCAAACAGCTCTACCACATCAGAAGGAAACATTAAAGCATTGTATCTGAAGGTGGTATACTTTAGCTTAAATCTTCATTTAGAGTTCAACTCATTGTATCGATGTAATTCCAGCATGGGACATACGACACCAATGGCAGTAACTCTTTTTATCTGGCCAGTGGAAACAGGCCTAAAACGAACGTTGCATTAGGTCTTGCTGTCCCTTTGCGACCCTGGGGGAGAAGCACAGCCCGTGCCTCAGGCCGATGCTGTGGTGACCGCAAGCGCCACATTTCCTCGGGCGTCAACTGGTCGTGATTCCCGTCTCTCCGGTCACCCCACACGTGGCCTGAGAGAGCCCATGCTGTCCCCATACACGATCCAGTTGCTTAAACTTCTTGTTGCCACTTCCAGACACTGATATGGCATCTACAAACAAGCTGTAGCTCTAACACTTCCACAAGCAGCTGCAGACTTTGTTAGGTCACGGTGCTGAGTTACTGGAAAGCAGGACCCCTGGCTTTCCAACATGCAACTGGGGCCCCTTCTGTCGTGTGCCACCTTCCGGCAGTGGCAGTGACGGCGTAGGCGCGGGCAAACTCCTACAGGAATAAACTTGTCTGGTTTAAAAAATCCTTGGAATTAGATGTTTAAGAGCAAAATAAAAAGAATATGGTCTTCTAAAGGAATCTGGCAATGCTTCATACGATATCTAAAGAGATCTGAAAACGCTCATCAATTTTAGTTGTAATGAGACTTGTGATCCTGCTTTTTTGGCTACGAAAAGAAGAAAACAAACTACAGATCAAAAGAAGGAAACCTAGAGCTTAAGAAGGTTATTTAATTTAAGTAGTTACTCTTTTCTATTCCACCTACTTCCAAAAGGATTTTTAGCAGATTAGTGGCTAGCACAGAAGGGCCCAGATTCAACAAGGGGCAGAAGAGGAGTAACGACCACAAAGAGGCAAGGGGGGATGTTTGGGGGGATGGAAATATTCTGTCACCTTGATTGAAGGGGTGATTACACTGATATATACATTTGTCAAGACTTGAAATGAGTGCTTTTTGTGCTTTATTGTGGGTAAATTATACCGCAATAAAACTGACTTATAAGGAAAAACAAAACAAGACCAGCGAGTGGAAGGTCAACAACCAAGGAATGAAAGGGTATGGAACTGAGCACAAAACTTAGCACTGAATTTCCTAGCAACCAACACAAAGGGAAAAGATTACTTTTTCAAAGGAGATACCTTTCTTCCCTCTCTAGCACTGAACTCAGCAAACCTCACTGAGTAAATTTTTATATCACGGTCACTTACACTGTCACTTTCTATCTTTATTTATTTTTATTTTTTTAAAGATTTTCGTGGCTTCTACCTTGCTCTCTCTTTTTTGAAACTTTTATTAATTTGAGAGAGAGAAATAGAAACATTGATTTGTTGTTCTACTCATTTATGCATTCATTAGCTGATTCTGTATGTGTCCTTACCAGGGATTGAACCCACAACCTTGGCTTATTGGGATGATGCTCTAACCAACTGAGCTACCTGGCCAGGGCTTCACTTTATATTTTTAGACCACAGAGTTTCCGTTGCCTCTCCAGCTATTTTAACTTCAGGGATATCAACTTGTTTGGAGGGTGGAATGGTTCTCCTTGTGAAACTCCACAGAATTTATTTTAAATTCCACTTTTGAACTAATAACGATGTTGTTGTCAGCAAAAGAGCCATATTATGTGCGTGTGACGTCAGATCATGACACTTAGTTTTCACATAACAATGCTCCCCTTCCCCAGACTGCCCAAATCAAGGCATAAACCAGGGCTCAAATCTTCCCAGCAGTGCTTGTTTACCACCTGTTCTTTTCTTTTGTTGGTCAAGTAGGGAAAGACTGAGTGTAGGAACAAGGCTCCTTTCAATACATGGTGTTGGCAAAATTATACATCCATATAAAATGAGGGAAAACACTGGACCCTTACTTTATGCCAGATACAATAATTACCTCAAAATGGATTAAAGACCTAAACCAAAGAGCAAACACTATAAAATTATAAGAAGAAAGCATAGGGGAAATGTATCCTACCACTTTAAGATGGCATTTCCATTACCCACTTGTTCTATTTAATCAGTTCCTCCAGAATTCTGTATCTCCTTTCTCAAGAGACAGGTAGTCATTAACCCAAGCTTACTGCCACATGGCAGATTTATCTCAATTACCCAAAACAAAAGCCAATAAAGAGACCAACTTGAAGAAAAAGAAAAGAAAGGGAACGTTTCCTTCAACCAAAGGTATAATCACTGTGGGTGCTCAACAGGCTAAGGGGGGTCAGGCGAGCCTCAACGAGAACCAGCCAGGACCCACCTTACTGAAATCAGCTTCATCTAGACTATTGATTTTATCACTGGCTATGGCCCTTACTTACCCGTTATTCTAAACAGTAACTGGAAACTAAAACAGTTACTACAGAAGGCTGATGTGAAACTTGTGTTTTCCAGTCTGATTAACTCACTTGGTGAGTAGAAGACATTTTTCACTTGACTATGTGCGTCAACTTGTTTATTAGAGTTACAAGAAAAGAAAAGCAGATTAGATACCAACATCATTCTAGAGGCTAACCATTAAATAAATGAATCAGAGGAGGGCTAAAGGGTTTTTAATTTTGCTTTAGCCTCAGTAAACTCTGCATTTGCTAATATTGTTTCATGATGCAAATATAAAAGCTTAAGCAAATGTCTTTCTCAAATTTATAAATTATGATTATCTGATACTTTGTGCTCATTAACTGCCCCTTGCAACATCATAAAAAGTGAATTCTCAATTCTCAACGTTGTTTGTACAAAGTGAGACTTGGCCAGCAACTGTGGGCTACAGAAAAGTGACAGGTGCCCAAAAGAAACTGAGTCCCACCTTCAGTGCTTCCGGCCAAAGGAACTTCGTGTGGAATAGCCAGCGATGAACAAAGATTTCCCCTGCACCCGTCTGACGGCGCGCTTTGGGGGCGCACCGTGTGCGCGGGAGACTCCCGCGGGCGCAGGGCGGCGCTTTCCCTCCGGCCACTCTCACCCAGGCGGCACGCTCCTCTCCGGCAGCGCCCGGGTTGGGCTGAGGTCTCATGATGTTTTCAGCCGCAAGGAAAGGTCCGCAGGTCAAATTCTTTGTAATTACAGATATTCTTCTGACGTGATTCATTCAAAAACCATAAAGTGAGCTCCAGGGGAATAAAATGAGTATGAGGGGAAATCGCTTGTAACATTTAGTCATCAGTGTGTGAGTATAAACCACACGCTTTTTTGGCTCAGGGCCCATTGTTTATTATGAAGGAGAACCTCAAAGCCAAAGCCAATTATAGCCATGACTCGACAATCTGACACACTTGCTAACCCTGTTAGATGAATACAGTCCCGATGAACTCTGACCCAGTCATCACAATTGCAGAATTATTAAGACTAAATAAAGAGTTTGACCAAAAGATTCCTCATGAAATGGTCCCTTCTTTCTGATGAAGAGCTAATCAAAGATAATTTTTTAAACAACTTATTAGGGACACATAGGAAGACGAGAGGTAACAAGATGTTTCTAGATAAAGAAAGTTTTATTTTCTTCAGGAAACAGACGACAATATTTTGGAACCTAGATAAACATATCGGAGACTCATTAAGTCGGGCACACTAACTCACAATGGTGTGTGCGGAGCACAAAGACAGGGTCGGGGGGAGAAAGGGCCACATGTGAAACCCGTGCAAACTGGAAACAGAAAAGAAAAGAAAAACAAAAGAACCCTCTAACATCACCATTCGCTAGCTACCTCATCACAAAGCAGGTAAGTTAGAATGATTAAATCTTGGCGAGCACGCAGGCCTGAGACAGCCCAGGCATTACCAGTGCCCTCCCTAAGCTCACGTTCACAAGATGTGCAACTGTGTGCGCCGCAACTGCCATCCAAAAGCGCGAACGAATGCGGGGCAGTACCACGGTGGCCCTGCGCTCTTTCTTCATGGACGGGAGATGGTCTCAGGGAAGGGAAGCGAATCTCTGAGCAGCGACTGAAGCGCGGACCCCCGCTTGCGTGGCCATGCTGGCTCACTCAGTAACCTCCTCAGCCTCACCGTTACTCAGCCCTTCCAGCGAGGACCACCAGTTGCTTGGTGACAGGGGGCAGTGCGCTGGGGTGGTCAAAAGCGGATGTCTGACAGTGAAGCCAGACTACTGTGTTCAAATTCCAATTCTGCCACCTGCAACCTTTGTAGCTTTGGTCAAGTTATAAGCCTCT